ACCTAATTTCTACAATAATAATAATAGTAAGACAGCTGATATATGTAGAAAACACCCAGACCGGTACAATCAATCATACTCATGAATGCACCGTGCCAGAAACCGAAGTTGCAACCATCGTAAAGTAAAGCCAAGTAAAGCGGGGTGCTAAACCGCTAGACCACCGAGGCCGTCAGAATATTATACTATGTACTATATAAAAAGCTTTATTATAATACCTTAGTATGGATACAATAAAACTCTACCTTACATTAAATAAATCTGAGTATATTAAATGTAGCCAATATAATTGTTATACAGGTTGTGATTTTTTTTAATACAGTCACGACTGTTGTCCTGATAGAGTAGTCAGAGGTATCTGTGAATGTCTTGTGGTAAACGCAACATTCGACATGCCCACAGTTCGCTAAGTATAGTATGTACTTCAGACATATATATTCACATTAAAAAGGTTTTTTCATGTCGTAAGTATGGGTAGTAAACCACTAGGCCACGACGTTCTATCTGTTTTTTTTATTTATTTATAATACATTATATAAAGCATGTCTATTAATATCTATCGGTGCTATGATCGATTCTAATCAATATTATTTATATAGTATACAATATATGTAGGCAACATTCAACTGCCATATAGAGGTTATGGGCCAAGTTCAACAACTTTAGTCATTAATTATATAGGTACTATTACTACAGTATGACTAAAACAACTACTTTAGTATTTTGAATAATTTTACGTCTCGACTATTGATTAATTATACAAAATAAAAAAAATAGTTACTACTTTCGATGTACCGGTTTAGAAGACCACAAAAGACTTGCAAGAACGACGATCTACTAAAAGAAATTACTGTACACCAATTGTCCAAAATACTTCATTCATTTGTTCTTAAATTATTAATTTAATTTTTCTGTAAAAAGAGATATCCACTGAACTGATTTCCATGTGGTTTTCATATATCAACAGGCAATTGTAGGTGTATAAAAAGTTAACGTTTTCTTTAAATTAATTGACATATACTGTGCCAAGCCGGGATTGGACGCATAATTAATTTTATTAGTAAAGTTACATTTTTTTATATCATAAAGATAGCCCAAATGAATTGAATAAGACGGTATAATTAAGTTGGTAATTTTGTAAATTCGCCCTTGCCTTTGGTTTTAGCTACAAGGGCACATTTTTTGTTTAATTTAAACGAATTATATTTATTACATGAAGCTTGTATTACAAATAATTTCATTAATTACGATCCCGTATGCGTAACTTGATGAACATAATAAGTACCTGGGAGTAAAAAGGCGAATAATTGAAAGTACCTTTTACAAAGCTTTGTGCTATTATACAATTAAGTTAATTGGCCTTACCTTCACGTTCAATGCTAATTCGGGTCGTGCAACGTTCACTGGTGGCGACTGACGGTAGTGGCGCGACGGTAGCGGTGACGGCGACAGTGGCGCGGAGGGTGACGGTTCAACTTTGTTCCTACTATTACTGATACGGGTACTTGTTTATTGACAGTTACCCACTTTCAATTATATAAACCGGTTTGTATATAAAGTATGTTTGTTAACGCTTATTGCAATATAAGAGTAAGTAATAGCAGATAATATTTTTATGAGGTAATAAAAATCAGCACTAACTGATTTTTAAGTTATCATTGCGTAATATTCATACCTTTTCCCATTGTACTTACTAGTAGTATAGTGTAGTACGTACCACTATACTAGGGAGTACATACACATCACAGTAGACAGAAAAATATCAATGAATTTACAATAACAACGTAGTGGAACAAAAACGTCATAAGCATCGTAGTAAAGTGGGTACCAACGGCCCAGGCGCATCGGTTAAACTCGGCTGTCTTCGACTAAGCGAGTGTAGGAGCTGGTAATAACAAAAACAAATTTTCTTTCTCTCTCTCACTTACCAGTGCAGTGCAGGGACGACTTGAGATTAGATCAGTGAACTAAAAAGAAACAAAAGCGCTCTTTCTCGGTCGACGCGGTCTAACCGGCGTCAAGAACCGGTTTGGTATTGTAACTTTTTAGTCCTGACAAAAACTCATGCATAGATAATCGTACAGCTCACTCTCATAACAAGCTTTACGTAATATAAGGGGCTGTGTTCAACGTCAGGGACGGAAACTGTTACAGAACGGAAATGGACATAATACTGGTGTCTATGTATACAACGGTTTTTTTTGTATTTAGATTTTAAATTATACTAATATTATTATGTAAAATGTAAAGTCAAACTCGAAACGTTTATCCAGGTTCCTTTAAGAACTTTCAGTCTCTTGTGCATATTATATTTTGTCACTATAGAAATAGTAATAAAATATATGACATGCGGTATATGTGTATGGTTTTAAACTTAAAAACCTATATTGAGGTTTTAGACAGACAGATTCATATAGGTCTATAACAGACACTTATGATATATCAAATCTATTGTCAGTTCATTGTGAAGCCAAGAAGAACTGGCAAGAAATATAACTCTTATATCTTTCAAAACTGTTTGTACATGATTACAAAAATACAGATTAATTTTTAATCATTTTGCTTATTGCAATTTGTCAAAAGCAAATAACTTAATCAGTGCTGTAACCCGAATAGACTAGTCCCGTCAAGCAGCACCCATTGATAGTATGAGAGATAAGTCAGCCATCATTGGACTCAAACTTATTAGAGGGAACACATTGACCACCACGCCGCGGCGCCGCGCCGCGCCGCTAGACAAATCCTTCTGTGATCAACATTTTGAATCTAATCCTTATCCTAAGTTTCGAGAGTCAAAATTTAAACATAAATTTAATCAAAGATGAAATCTATTGATTACAATTTCTAAAGTAATAAATAAATTCGTATTGGTCGCAATTGTATTTATAACTTATAGTCCTTAGCAAAGTTCCATATTTAAACTATAATATAATATAATAAATACAAAATAAATTACGTAATGAATTTATATTATTTTGTTTAATTCCGCTACCACGGTATGCTACCACAATTATTTGTGGTTACCCACATGGTAATGAAATGGACTTTCGCAATATAACACAACTCGATAAAATATATAAGATTAAATATATTCAATGAGTAAATTAATAAACATTGCGTACTTAGTATCATTTATTTCTTTTATTTTATTGGTTTGGATGTTTTCTATGTACCTATACCTATTATGAATGTTTCTTAAAAACAGGAACACGAACGTTTGTGAGTATGGATGGATGTTTCATTTCTCTTTCACGCAAAAACTACTGAACGCATTCGATGAAATTTCACTGTAATATAGCTTATTTATCTGAAACATATAGGCAATAATTTAAAAAGATTTTATGTAAATTGGGCGAAATATAACAATAAATGTCAAGTAAATGTGATGCAGACGAAGTTGCATGGGTTAGTTAGTATTATGCTATTATATTATAGTATGGATCAGTGTGAACTGTACAGGGTTATTATTATTTTTATCATATTTCTGTTATTTAGTGAAACATTTGTCACACAAACAACACAAAACATATTTCAAGTAGATATGTATTTTACTACATTACAGATTACGGCTAAATCTTGTTTGGCCGCTTAAGGAGATTTCAAAACGGTATCAATGTTTTAATCAAACATACTTGTAAGGTCGGAATTAAAAAAAAAACCATGTAGCAGGTCGCTTAAGAACTTTATTTGTCAAAAGGAGATTAATACAGTACCCAGTGTCTTTATTAAGAGTATTCTAGTAACCTTAGGTAATGATTTATAAAGGACACCTTTGTCTGTTATAAAACATCCTAAATACATAGTGAGGATATTTTCCACTGTTTTTCTTAACTCGAATACAACAGTCTGTCGCTAGATTTTACAGACCTGAACAAATATTACGAGAGTGGACCCCTGTCCTGGTAGCTGTACTGGTTCATTTCGATGTTAATGACTGGTGCTTTATTGCGGTGGATTAAGGTTGCTATTGTAGTGTTACTTTTGACGACAATTGCAGTAGTTCCGTGGTAACTGAGGCACAAGAGGCCGTTAACGAGAACGGTTGTTTGTTTTCTCACGCCTCTTGAGACTTGACAACTAGCCGAAGGCTTGGTCCGTCGAGCGGTGACCGTCGACCAAAACCGATTTGTTTGCAGTTATTTACTTGGTTTTACTAATTTACTAATTATAGTCTCGATTTCGACGCTTCTAAGTAACGATTGTTTATTTTTTTTGTTGGAATAAGGTCTAAATTACGTTCTATTTATTGCTTTAAAATTATTATTGGAATAAAATAATAACTATTGTAGACCGTTGTTTCTGTTTCTGCCATAATTATTACACGACCAAGAAATAGCACACTGTACTACTATGCCCAAATCCTGAGCAGCAATGGAGTGAAGCTGGTGGAGTCTAAGTACAAACCGAGTTTTAAGGTCATATGCGTCCTGGGTATCTACTAATTATATTCTACTCATCTTCATTGTAATAGGGTGCTGGCATTACTATAGCAGAATTCCTTCATCACTGTTCATCATTACTATAGTATAATAAATATATAATTAATATTAATCACATCTTGTAACTAGAAGGCTCGCCCCCTGCCACGTTAGATTCAAATTGAACTAGCGAATTGTGTGACAATCACAATTGTTGACAGTTGATTATGCTTCTGAATATTCCACCCGGGATAATACATTTATTTATATTGATGTACAAAGAAAATGAAAAAGATAATCTAAAGTATATATAACATGTAATATAAAAGATGCTGAAAAAGGCGACTCACTTATACGAGTATCGCTTCATGCCTTACCACAGAATATATAATAGTACTCAAGCCATACTTACAAATTTATGATGGAAATAAATTTTCATGATAATGTATACAACTCGCAATAATACTATGAAGAATATGAAGGCAACATCAATTATGCTTAATGGAAAGCTTACGATTAGTATAAAAAGGTACCTACGAAACACAAAATAGAAGCCAAAGAAATAACAAGAAAATTCCTTACCTTGTTTAGAAGGAGTTTGTAACTTCCCATTTAGTCACTAATAAAATAAAGTCCCTTATAAACTCGGAGGCAAATCCAAAAAGTTTGTTTATCTGAGTTTTGATCCACTTTACACCTAACTCGTACTCATACTTTGAAATCTAATGAAGTTGTCGAGTTAGGCGGAAAAGAATATCATAATAACTGAATATTTTTTGATACAATTGAAATACATGAAAATAGTTTTGAATGCATGTAATGTATTATATACATATATTTACGATTGGTAATTGCAATGAAATGAATATTTAAATAGGCAAAAAGTTCATATTCCAGTGTCAATATTCAATGTGTCAGTTAACCCTTTGAGGGCGTGTTGAGTTTGACGAAACACTCCTATGAGGGGTGTGGAAAGTGGGCTTTTTAATATCCTTTTATAAATTTAGAAAACTGTGCACACGTTATTTTGTTTTATTTATTTTACAATATCAACGGATTGCTCTATTTTGCAGTAAACTAAACTAAATGTGAAACAAATTCAAACTTTTTAAAAATATATACGAGATCAGAAAGTGATGTAGTTTCATATATATAATAAACAGGTATATACTGATGTAATCAGTAGTAGTTTACTGTAGGAAAACCATAGGCGTCAATATTTTTGTACCATCAAACTTTAATCAAGTTTGATTTATTACAACAATATAGAGTTATAGATATGTATATCATATGATTTAACAATATATTATACAAATGTATATAATGTAATATAGTACGCGTGACACATCAAGTGGCGAAGGAATGTACGGAAATATATAAGACAAACTTTTGTATGACGTTTTAAAAATGTATCAATAACAAATAGTAATGAAAAATCAAATAAAAATGTCTATTTAGTATAAAATTGTTTATACTTGGTTTATTTCATTGGTGTGTATAGGTTGTTATTGTTACTTTGACTATATACTATAAAATATACTGAAAAATCTTTAAGTTTGCATAAATACACAGTATTTATGCAACTTAACAGTTCTTTTCTGTGCTTGGTTTTAGTTATTGGCGGTTGGTAACGAATTATTTCATTTCATATTCATTTCAATACTGGAGTAAGTAAATTGTATCTTAATTTTTACTCTAAAGTTACTTTAATCGGTAACAAAATATAAAAAAAATTGCTATTGTTAATACAATAATTTCAATTAATATTCATTATCATCTTTAAAATATTTGCAATATTTTAAAGAGTCCCAACATTTCAACAACTGCGGACACTCACTCTTTCGAACTGTTTGCAATGTTCGCGTATAACTGTGTCGAGTTACGTCATGAACACGTTAAACACGTAGGGCGGCTGTCGCGGCACTGGGCGGGCGAACAATAGACGCGAACACGCGAGCGAGCGTCTCGCGACCGCCCGCCCTTGCGCAAAGTTCATGGCAATGAACCAACTGACTTTCTGTTTTGTGACGATCTTACATTTCAATCGGTATTCTGTTTGTAGATTAAATATATACCGCATTTTATTTCTACAAGGAATTTAATTATTGCGTTATTATGATACGGGTGTTATTTAAAAATGTAATTATTTTTTATTTTTATGTTTATTTCTTTTGGAATTCCAAATGTAATACGCATAAAAATATAAAAAAATCCAAACTAAATTCATATTGTTACGATTGTATGTTACTGTAATTCTGTATTCGTTCTAAATCTAAATTATAAGCTCAATTAAAAGTTAATACTATTTGCCTACTGATTTCCTCTAAGAGAATTAGTGAAAAAAGAGAACATTGAACTCTTCCTGTAGAAAGTAAAAAATACATTCGACAAAATATATAAGAAAACGGACTAACGGAGTATGATTGAATTAAATTTCGATCACAGAAGAATATCGGGTGTCCAATCTAAATTTGTTCTAAAGGCGTTCGTCAAAACGAACAATTTGACTCAATTTAATATTTATAATATCAACGACTTACTTTACACTTTATTTCGACTTTAACACGTCTATACATCCATACTAGGAAGTCTTTATGAAAAGCCATTTACGTGGATACTCCATTCTTAATTATTTCAGCCGCCAGACATATTATTTTTAAATAATTCAGTTGTGAAAGGCTGGCAGTATATGATAAGAGGCATGATGTCTTAGTCCAGCGGAATAGCACGTTGCCATTCTGGACGACTAAGACATCATAGGCGGTCCTGCGAACCACGATAGTTTTCTGTTCATGAAGATCTATGTAGTGCTGTTCATGTAATATAGGCGACGGTTACCATTTATAATCAACTTGATTATAAATAATTAAAAAGATCGTTTGCTATCCCAAGTTAAAAAAAATGCTTATTTGAATTTCGCTTAATCTTTATGGAACAAAAATTTACATTATGCATATTCAATTATGAATCAGTGATAATACAATTAGTTATTTCAATTTCTATATGGATAATTACTAAGCTTGTTAGCTTGGTTTGCCGCAGGCACTACCGTAACTCCAAATATTATGATAAAGCTACTTTAGATATTATCTGACCTGTCTTGTAGTTTATATTAACGAGACATTATGACTTTTCTGTACATCTAAGGTGAATTCGATCGCAAACCTGTTGACCTTTAAAAATAACTACGAGCACATATAATAAGAGAAATTATAAGTAATACTTTATTGTCAACATTGTCAATGTTATAGTCAAAGTTAATATTTTTTCTACAATACTATGTTGCCTGCAATTACTATTTCAATGTCTGTGTAGTATTATGATAAATATTTGTACTTTTATTCTCAGTAATTTTCTGAACCACCTTTGCTCGCCTGGAAGATAATATGTTGATAATTCCGCCATATGTGTCATATAGAACTTCTATCTATAATTCTAATGTAACTTAATTATACTTCATTTGAGAATCCTAATGTTACATCGATACTAATGTTAGATATAAATGTGAAAATGTCTCTCCTTGTTACGTTTTCACAATAAAACGGCTCTTAATCAAATTTGTTTTTAAAATAGTCCAGGAGGGATGAAATTTTTTGCAGACAAAGTAGTGGGTAACAACTAGCATTGATTTTATAATATTTATCATTATAGATTGGATCCCAGTTAATTTTTATTTGCATATTTCTGCTATTCAGACCTAATACAGTCCACCTACACCACTGTCTCTTACAGCGGTGGGGGTGGAATGTACCATCAAATGCAAATTATTTACTTATCAACTAAGCATTTCAATATTTTGTCTCGTTTATAATAAGCATAGTATTTAAATGTAACAGCTGTGTTTTTCTAGAATTACTGTTATGGTGTCTCACTCATACCATTATAATCTTATTTATATGTGTGTGATAATTCATCTGAATTCATAATATAAATATACATTTAAAATGAATTACTCTTAGATCCAATAATAAATAGAAATTGTTTTTTTTTTGCGTGTGTGTGTATGTAATATGAGGTATCCCATAAATAGATCAATAGCCTCCGGTTACTATGCTAAGATGATAACCCATGTCATGAAAATTACACATCATATGTGCACATATTATATTCGAGATTACAAAATTATTATTTTATAAATAATATTAAAATCCCTCATCCTTTAAATATTATATTATACGTTACTGAAAATAATACAAATAGCACTCTATTATTACATTGTACATGAATATTTTAATAATATCTCAAATATTGTAACTAATCCAGTTTCTAAATTTTACTAAAACACCCACAAACTTTCTTCATTCAGGTACTTAATTATTTGAACCTATTATAATTTTGGCTTGTATTTACAAGGAATCGATATCTTTAGGTTGGTAATGGTACAGAGATGAGAAACCGTATTGGTATTTATCAACAGCTCTGCTTCCAGGTGGTATTGAGGGCAGTATTGCGTGTCAACTGACAGGAGTCCTCGGGATATTTGAGTTATTCGAAATTCAACCGAGTTGAGGCTCCGTCTGTATGTCCAACAGACTTAGGTACGGATTTAGTGGTATTCAGGTTACGTATAGGAACCGAGTAATCTTCGAGCTATTTCAATACAGCTACTCAGCACTGAACGGAGTTAGTTTTACTTGTTTAGGTAGTATTCTTATATAAAGACGTAAAGAAGACGAGGACAAAAATCGTTTGGTATATTGGACACAGGTAGTTACAATCTCTATATACACACGCAATACTAAACTAACACAAATATTTAAAAAATTTAGTTATAAACTCTAAAATCGAATTGATCAAAGACTATTTTGCAAAACTTATATTATTTAAAAACACTTATTATATTATAACACAGTTTATTATAAAGCATGCGATATACCTAGTAACTGTTATTAATATATGCATGTAATACCATAATTATTGTAATGTTAGGTTATTATTATATGTATATTTATTGAACACTGAGTACTATCTATAAATTCGATAGAGCTCACATAAATTCCCATGAATGTATGCTTGTGAATGTTCAAAAAGTTGTTGATATAGGTATGTAATATTATGTTATCTGTGATATAGGTATATAAATACTCCCGTAGATGGCCCTTTAACACATTGAGTCTATGGAAAGGTGGTTATGTCTAGTTTTGCGATTACTACAGTGAACTCCATTTAGGATGGCAGTCGTGAAGTTAAAAATTGTCTCGTACTGAAAAATATAAATATTATTAGAATATAAATAATACGATAAAGTTGCAAATGTTATGTATGCCTAAGGGTACGATGCGCGCTCATACAACGTCGTCCCGTAACAGTTTTCTATTTTCGTTTATTTGCTATAACACGTAACAATTTCAGCTTTATGGGAGTTAGGAACGGATTTCTGTCAATAATAAGGGATTTACGATCGAATACCTTATAAGTACACGTAAAATTGGATATGGCGATCTGACACGCGGGGAAAGAGGATATACCTTACTTGTTATTAATTACATTAGATTTTTCGATAGTTTAACAACTAGGATTTTTATAGAGTGATTATAATAACATACTTCTGATTTACTTACCTTTGTCACATCTTCATTCATGAATGGATAATTAAATAACTAAGATTCTATTCTCTACTTACTTGCCTAGTGGTAAGTATCTACATACAAATAGCTGGAGAAATACTTTACTTAGAAGGTTTAAGTATTTCACTAGAAGAGTTAGTATGTTTAAACTCATATATAGTGATTGCATTTAGTTTTCACTAGCTGTGCCTGCGGCTTCGCCCGCGTGAAATTTATAGCCTATGTGTTATTCTGATGTATAAGTAAGCTATATTATTGTAAAGTTTCATCAAAATCCATTTAGTAGTTTTTGCATGAAAGAGTAACAAACATCCATACTTATAAACTTTTCAGTTTGTGATTTTAATGAGATTATTCACTTCTAATTCATTATTGCTATGGCATGATTGTCTAACTGTGATAAAAGTATTAGATAATTCTATTCTGTAGGGAAATTTTTATACAAAATAAATAAAATAATACCCAGCAGTATACGTAAAGATTTTATTAGTTCCACGTAATGCATTTTGCAGATATTGTTTATAGATACTGACGTGATCCGTCGTGATTGATATTGTATAATATAAACACTGGGTTCGAACCATCCGTAGTTATTGAAAGCATGCGTCGTTATTAGAGCATGACACGAACCTTCATGTAAATACAGCTGATATGACACGAGCCGGTAAGACGTGCTAGAGTACTTCACTAAATCTCTATCGCAATAACTGTACAAAATGTTGCTGACAAACTTAGAATAATGGCAATTAATAGTTTGTCAAAGAGGCTCTAAAATTCATTGATAAAATATCTAAAAATAGTATATTTAGTGATGTAATAGTTTAGTTTTCCAAACAAGCATAATAATTTGAAAGATGATTATTATCAACTATGCCACTCAAGTAGTGTATATTAAAAAACTTTTCATTAATTTTGTTCATTTGAAGTCAGAACAACCCTTAGGACGTGTAGTTGGAATGCAATGTATACAAGTAATCAATCTGAGACAAGCTGGGGTAGTGGCAACTATGAACTACACCTACAAACAGCACTTGGACGATATCGTGCTATTCGTGAATATACACATACACATATGTTATGCCCTATAATGTCACTGTTATATCTCATATTTTAAACTAAAATACGGTATACAAAGCAACCTAATTGACAGCACAAATAGGTGAGGTGGAGATGACTTTGTAAGGTGTACCTTCGTTAAGTAAATTTGGTGTTATGAATCACAATGAATAATTAATTGTGTTAATAACAAGTATTTACATGATTAAATAAATAAATAGGTACATATAAAAAGTTGTCATTACAATAAATATCAGTATGACTAAAACATTTACTTACT